GAGGGGGGGGCGAGCGAGAAAGGCTGCAGAGCTGCAGCATCCAACCAGCGCACGCTGGCCCAATGAAGATGGAAACATCAAAATGGCAGGCGGAGAGGGAAGGAGATTCGAAGGAAAAGCACCACTTACGCGAGCAAGGATGCGATGCAAGATAGCATCTTGTCGGCAGTAAAAGGAAACGTTGACGACTGCGAGAGGCACAAGTCCGTTTACGATGGCGCAGGCAAAGCCCGGCAGGGCGCGGGGCGCAGGGCGCAGGGCGCGGGGGCGCGGGCTCCAACGGCTGCGAACAGCCGCAAAGCTGCGAGCGGGCGAGGAACCGCTCAAAGGGAATCCCCAGGCGCCCCTCGTCCATCTCGGGCCGCCCGATGCTCCTCCATTCGCCACTCGAGGGGCTTGCCAACTCGATACAATCAATTGCCTACTACTTGGTGGGGGCTCCGTTCAATGCATTTCATTCAAGAAGCATCTACGTGCACAGTCTTTAAGAGAGGAAATATCGTATTACATGTGATGTGTTTTTGTTGCTGTTTTTTTTTTTCAAAACTGATAACTCTCCAACTTATTACCTGAATGCTTTTTGTTCTCGTGACTCATGATTATTAAATTAACTGGTGCTAATTTTCTCTATAAAATTAATTACCTCTGCCTTTAAAAAAATGCTTTAGAGCGTCCTTATTTAATACTCAAGTGCCACAGAGCATAGTGAATAGGCACGTCCAATTGTAAGAAATTACATTGACTTCCAAGTGTCTGACGAAATGCTTCTCAGAAGCCGTATCTCCTCGACCCAGAATTCTACGAAATTGACCGAACAATCTACTAAATCAGAAGCGACCAGCGATAACCCTTCTAGCCAACCCCCACGTTTAATGCCTCACGATCCCACGAAGAACTGAAGGGCGAAAAAAACCCTTACCGAAACGACTACGGCGAATTTCCCCCTCATAAACACCGAGCCCATCACACGATTTTGTAGAAACGCGGGCGGCACGTGACAAGCGCGGCGCACGTGCCAACCCCCCACCCCACCCACCCGCTTCGCCCACACAATCTAAATAGGTGCAGCGGTCGGCCAGGCGGCGGCGGCGGCGGCGGCGCGCGATAAAACTACAGCAACTGCGCCGCGCCGCGCCGGGTCGAGTCGGGTGGCCCCCGCGCGCGCGCCCGCGATACCATCGCCCTATTTGCATGCAGACGCGTCGTGAGGGAAGATGCGGTTAAGAATTGGAACAAAGCGCCGTATCGCTCCCGAATCGTACTCGCCCCCCCCGACCCCCGCTATCGATTCGCCCTGGCATCGCTCGAGGTCAAGGGTGCGCGCCCAGAATAACGAACTGGCCGGCAGGGCGACGACGGCAAGTCGCTTTCAGGAGAGAGAGTTTCCCCTCTCGGAGAGAATGGAAGGAAAAAATAATGGCCCTATAAAAAGAAAATGCCTTTCGATTATGCGGTGTACGCCCCCTCGACAGAATGTTAATTCACCGCGGGAACCTGGGGTATTATTAATGCTTACCTTGCTCTACATCATAGGAGCGCTATCGAGAACGCAATTATTTCGAGGGTTCGTTCTACTAAGACGTCTCGGATATTCACATAGCCCTGATTCTTCAATCCAGTAGCCTGTATATTCTACTCATTAAAATTCTTTGAACTTTTCAAATGATGTCTCCCATCCTACATTACACTCTCCGGATGTTATATGAACATCCCCAATTTAATGTAACCTCGTTTTTGTATAAAATTATTAGAATTATAAGAGAAAGGATTCGAAATATGGTCATCTTGTTGATGTTTTTTGTGATAATATTTAAGGAGTGCCCTGCTGTAATAAAACAAGACGGATTCCAAATAATCAATTTCTTGGCGTTGCAAACACCTTTAAAAGTCATATGTCAGAATCGACACTCCCAAAAAGGAAACTTTTCTCAAGCACACTCCCAACAAAATGTATCTTTCAACATTACCTCGGCTAAAAAAACAACAACAAAAGTAGTCTCCGTTGAAAAAGTTCCTCTGGAAACAGCGCACATCATAAAGCGAAAGAAGGCATCGGCGATGGGCGGAAAATGCATATGGCGCTGAGTCACCGACACCTCGCGGCGAACAAAAGCCGACCCAAGGGTCCCGTACGCTCGCTTTTTGTTTCGACGACCTTGCTCTGGATTCCGGGGCGTGGCGCCCGCCCGCCCGCGGCGGAAGCGCTCCGCCCGCCCAACGGGATGCAGATGGTGCGGGAGGGGGAGGGGAGGGGGGAAAGGACGTGTCACGCGGGAAGTGGATCCCTCACAAGAAGCTCTCCCTGTCCCGCATCCAAAGCGGAACTTTCTTCCGCCAACGCCCTCTCTTGTCGGAGGACTCGAGAGATACTGCGACACGTCGAGAGTTGCTTACTGCTCTTGTTCTACGCGCATGCTACCACGAGCGTTTCGTGTACGTTACATTGTTGCTATGTAACGTGGCATATTCGTATAAAACGTACAATGTGGATGTTTATACAAACCGATCGATCCTCCGCTCTTTAAATAGATGCACTAAAACGCAATGTTCAAGAGACTTTAAAAAAATAATAAAAATATACTATGTTCAAGAGACTTTAAAAAATAATAAAAATATACTCCCTAATACCGCAATTAAACGCAAACAAAAGAGTCGACTTACAAAAGATTTCGATAGGTTGTATCTCTAATTAATCACTCTAGATACTAACTTCAATTTAATAGTAATTCACGTGTATAAGTTCATTGGTAAGTGCGAAAGATAAAGGAACCAATCAAATCGTTCACAAGCAAAGGATGGTATACGACGAGGCTAACCACAGAAGAGCCCAAACACGCAAATTAGTGTGCTCTCCTTTTGAGGTCAACAACCCACGCAGGACGACGCTAGGTGAACGGTTCACTGTGTGAACAACAGGATACTGCGAACCGATTCCTCTGATTGTGTGTGCATCTCCAAGCAGCAAAGCCTCGATTACACGCAGTCTCCTCGGTCAATATAGCGCACCAAATCGTCAATATAGGAACCAATGGGCACCAAATCGCGGGTGAACATTCTCTCTATACAGCACTCTCCCTGCTTATCTGGGTCCAACAGGTTCTCTCCATCTACTCTGGCCGGAGTTGTAGCCTAACATCTTGTTATTACTTATATCAGTGTTTTCCAGTATTATTAGATTTTTTCCGTGTTAATACAAACAGTTAATACGAAATGAAACAATTCACTGTAGACTCCTTTCATAAAAATATGATTTCTTGACAGTTGAAAACTTTGATCTGAATTACAATGAACAAAGAATGGTACAAAATCTGTAATAAGAATATTTTCATTCTGAAAACGTCACTGAGTGCTCTTCAATTTTTTATACTTCCAATTTGTTTAAAAAATGTCAATTAGCCAGTAATCAGCCAACATTTATGAGTGTCCCTCAATCTATTCACAACGATCATACAATGCACGTTCTTTTATTGCATTTCGCATCAAACTGTCAATGCATTATGCCCTCGAATGACACTCCCGCAAAGATTTCTGTGCAGTAGCAGCTATCACATATCAACATCTGTTTCGATCCCCTGTACAGATTATGACGACTTTCTCCCTCATGATTTTTCTTCGTCACATCCATCACTTCATCGACTTCCGACCATCACCTTCTTATCTTCTTTCTCCCAAACACCATCTGCCACATTTTTTCCACTCTTTTTGTTTTTCTCGTTCTTCCTTATCCATCTCCACCACCTCAACATCTTTCAACTCGTGAAGAACCACACGCCTTGTGCGTCTCCCCCCCCCCCGGAGCTCGACATCTTCACCAGCGGGCACGCCTCGTTTGCGCGCTGGGACGGCAAATTACCTGCAACGCCCACCGCCTGCATCGCACTTCCCCAGCCCATCCCTCCTCCCCTCTTCACGTGGCCCCTCTTCCGCCGCATCGCCATGCCCCTGGTTCCGCGACGGCGACGGGCAAAAAACGCCGCCACGAAACGCGCTCCGCGGAATGCGCACGCGGAGGGGACAGTAAACGCTCGGCGCTTCGAGGCCTCAAAATACCTCTCGGGACAAGCGTGTCTAAACACCAACCGGCGGAACCTCATGAATCATATTCACCTGCGCCCGAGGATCGTCTAGGCACATTTTTTTTGCGCCCATCGCAAATCTCCACCAAAACTGGAGAAATAAATTAAAAAATATGTTTTTGTACGCCGCCGACGCTACCGCTTCTGCTGCATTTGCCGCTGCGCGAAAGCAGTTACTTCTAAAGCGAAAAAGAATACGCGTCGACTCACGAATTTCAGGCGCGCAACACGGAACTCGAAGCAACGGGATATCCTGCCGGTGAATAATACACTCGGGGCCTTACCGGTGCCGGGCTAAACGCGGCAAGGGAAAACAACGCATTCGGAACAATCCGAGCCCCGAAATCACGAAGCAGGGCGCGTTCTATGCGGTGTAGGTTTTGCAGCACAGCGGAGTGGAAAAGGAGGTATTCCTTTTCTGGGAATAACATTCCCTACAGCTATTTCGTAATTAACAGAAATCTTCGTAACTGCAGTAGGAGGCTTCCTCAACCGTAGTTCATTTTTTGTCCGCGTTCTTCCAAGTTTTATAGGAAGTTGATAAGTAGAAAACGCGAACTAATAATTTTATAAGCACCGTCTATTATTAATATTGCTTCATTAAATAGTTCTTGATGACTCAATTAAACGTTTCTTGTAATCGGAAGCATCATGGCCGTGAGAATCAAGATGAAAACACCATTACTCAAAATAGCTGTCAGTGTCGACAACACTTTCCTCGACATTCTCATAAATGAAATGTTTTGTCATATTTCTTTTTGTAAATTAGACAAAAAGCACATCACTTATATACGACGTATTCAACTCGCTACTATACTCATTTACTCACAATACTCAATCGGTAACAAAATAATTTATCAAGTCACATATCTACAAAAAATATATTTCTCGGCGTAAGGAGGAGTACAAAAGATTGCAACTGTGCGGCTGCACGTCTTCTGAGCGCGTAGGAAAGTAACTAAATAACTGACCGCACAAAGGAGGTCCCTCCAAAGAATGCCGATGTGCCGAGTAAATAAATATGAATCGTGTAGGATGCCCGGCGGCGGCGGCGGCGTCACTAAACGGCACAAAATATCAGGAGCGCGTGGTCTGCATTATGCGCCTCCCATCACCGATTGGTCACACGCGAACAAAACGAAAAGCCGTTCCCGCTCGACCGCGCATTCCGGAAGAGAGCCATCGACGAGCCTGCGGCCGAAGCAAAGCGACGGCGCCTGGGACGTGGCCTCCAGCGCAGGAAGCACGCGTTGCCAGACTTGCGGGGCATTGACGCACCGCCGCACACGGAAGCAGACAAGCAGCACCGAGAGAGCAACTTCGCAGGCTACATGCACCAAATTAGTTATCAGCCAGGGTGCGAATATTATCTCTCCATTACAATGTTTAGAAAGGAATTTGAGGTTCCTACTCAACCAAATTTCATTATTTATGCGTAAAAAATATGTGGTGACCCCGAACTGTGTTATTGTTTGCTATTTATTAGCCCATTTTACGGTATAAATTCTTTATTTTAATAACTAAAAACCAATAGAAGGACGCTTATCTTCATTTGTACGTCATTTCATTGTTCGATATGTAATCGATCATTTCCCACGAGCAGGCATTTAAGTGTGACGATATAGTTGACAAAGCGAGGTTTTAAGTTCGAAGAGTACTTTTAAATGCAAAGATTAGAGAGAATATTTAAACGCCTGCCCAGCAATCCCCTGACACATTGGACCCCTTAAAAATGATCAGTGATTATAAATGTGTGTTGCATTACGTTCTTAAATTAAGGCGGCATTAAGGATTCCTTTCCTATAATTCACTTATAATACACAGGTACAGATATTGGCAAATATAAAAGATTTCAATTGCATTTTCAGAAACATGTTTAACTATTGTGTTCACTGTGAATAGTGACTGTTGTTCTAGTATTTGTAAATCTCTCTCATTTCATTAGTCTTCCAAAATAAGTTGAGAACGACGTGAAGCAATACTTTTCGGAGTTCGATTTAGCATATAATGAAAACGCTGTACTTTTCAAACTTTTCTGCAGCTCTCTTTTCTGTTCGATATTATCGCAAATGTTCAGCTAGAAGAAGATTCTGAATCGCATATGAAGACTGAGTATATATTCAGAACGTTCTCAAAGCAAAAGCATTAAAGAAAGAAGCGACGGAATTTGTGTATTCCATAGAGAATCTCCGGAATTCCATACAGAATTAAACAATCTCTTTAATTGATTTTAATACATGGCAAATACGTTTCCATACAAAACGTCAAATTGTCATGGAAACGTAATTGAAAGTAGCGAAACAAATATTGCTAGATTTCGGCCTTTTTTTTCGTTTTGTCGGATATTCTTTGCCTCTGGCCAAGCGGTTCGTGAATATTCAAAAAATATCATTCGTTAAAACAACGACATGAAGTCAAGCCCTCTGAGGAGTTACGCTCGCGAAAAAATAAATCTCTCTCGAAAACTACATAAGTACAACAATACTGTGCGCCATTCTTCTAAATACGGCAAGCATGTTGCTCAAAGGTGTTGATTAAAAACGGTACACGCCGTCGCCGGGGCACGCCGCTGCGAGCCTTTTGTGAATAATACGACGACGTAATTAAAATCACGCCATTATTTACGGGCTCTCCCTCATTTAAAATGAAGCGAAATTTCCGATGGCGAAAACATAAAAGGTGCGAGCGTCGACGTGGCGGGGCGGGGCGCTGGCAGCGGAGCGCGGCTGGGCTGGGCTCGGCTCGGCTCGGCGCGCGTCACAGCGGGGTTGACAAGTCAAAGGACTCGCGACAGTGGCGCCGTATGCGGGCAGGTGCGGAGTCAAGAGCTGCCGGCGAGAGAGCGGCGACGGCGGCGGCGGGGGCCGTGGGGGAGGGGCGGGGAGCGGAGCGGAGGCGGCGCGCGGAGGCGGGAAAAGGCAGAGGGCGAAGGGCCCGCATGCCCTGCCTGCGCAGGTGAAGGAGGAGGAGGTGCGGAGTGAGAAGCGAGCACCTGGGGCGACCCGGGGGTTGGAAGTGGTTCTGGGAAGTGGAGGCGCATGCGCCGAGCGGTAGACCGGTGGCCCGCGGGCGGAGATTTCAAAAGGGAAAAGAAGTTCCCAGTAGTGGAGGCAGAGATCTCTGACGCGCATATTCAGCAATTTTTGGTGGTTGTCGATGTCAGGAAGCAGATATTCGTAATTGTTGACGTCGTATGTCACCCGTCATCACATTAAACGACCAAGCGGAAGAGAAAATATCCATAAAAAGACTACATATATTTAACTTAAGAATGCAAAAATTAAATTCCAACGTTCCACATGGTAGTAGAAAATGCCAGTTAATAAAATTCACAACTAATCTATAGAACAATTTTGTAACAGAAAATGATTATACTGATGCCCAAACGATTATTTCACTTGCTTTTTAACCCGTCTATCGTTATCTTTGAGAATTGAATGATCCTATAGAATATATTTTTTTTCTGTTAACTGCAGACGAAAACGTTGCTTTGTGATAAAGAATAATGTATGCATGAGCGTTACAGCAGCAGAAGAGTAGTTAATACTAAAAAATTGATTTAAAAATACATTTCAAATTAGTGAAGCCACTGGGTTGAGAAGTGATTATAACATTCATCAGACGTAAACATGTTCATTGTTAAAACAGAACAATAAGTGGTCAAGTATAATATTTTTGGGCATTAACAAAGAAAGAAAGAAAGAAAGAAAGAAAGATACGAGAAAGCTCGAGAGATGCGACGGAGAGATGCACGTGTTTTATACATTATACAACGTATTAATTGGCCGTGTTTTCTTCTTGTTTCTGCAGGTGCGCTGACGCGTTCGCAGTTCCCAGTGTTCACCATCTACGCGCAGAAGAGCTGCCTGGGCGTGAAGCCGTGCGAGCGCGCCTGGTGCTTCGATCGCGTGCAAGGCTACCGCCTCAAGGACTACTCCAAGAAGTCCATCAACACGGGCGCGCGCCAGGAGTGCCTCGAGCTGTGCCTGGGCGAGCGCGACTTCCCCTGCAGGTGAGAGCCCCCGCCTGGCACAGTGTCAATACCAGTTTCTACCCACACCACTTCTAAGGAGCTTTGTTGAAAAAAACTAGTCGTATGTTTGGGGAGGGTGCGGACGTAATACTGTCACTTTTTCAGACTGAATAGGAATGACGAACCCAATAAGCAAGGTTTAAAAGAATGAATATCGAGTCGATTGCTTTCCCTTCTTCGAAAATACTATTCCTATTTTTACAGTAGTAGGACAGCATCAGTTAACATCATATTTTTTAAGATAACTCGTTAGAGCCCTCAAAATACACGGCAACTATTCAACCCCACCGGTTTAAGAGAAAAGAAACTGTAATAATAATTACTTCTCTGTACTAGAAATTGATCTGTCCTACTCACAAAAAGAAAGTGAAAATATCTGACGCATTTTTTACGTAAGACTTAAATAATTACCGCTGACCCAATCTCTCAGTAATCAATAGGTAGAGTGTTTATCATTCTGTCCGCGATATCGGTTTGAACTAAGCGGTCATTCCATCAGACCTATAATTTCGAATTCAAAATTCACACATCACAAATATTATCTGCAGATAAAATCTGATATACGGAAGTGTTGTCCTTCATTATAACACACAAGATTGATATTCACAGCAAATAATTTACATTTAATCGCTCGTCTCTGACGTTAATTATCGAGCACATTCATCACAGAATCTTTGTAATCAGTTTCAACATACTATCAACGCATTTGAACATGAAAAGAACGTAATCATGAGTTCGAGTGAACTGGGACAGCATAATCAATTTACTAGCAACTCGTGCATTCACAATGAACAAAGCGAAGATACATAAAAATAAACAACTCCGAATTCAATGCACTCGGCGAAAAAACCTTATTAAAGAACGACCCAAAAGTGCACCGTACCGCACAACAGAGATTTAATACCAGGGGGAATGCAACGCGAACGCCGTTGGTAGCAGTGCGCGCGCGCTGTTCTTTCTCCTCGACGAGTCGCTAACAGGACCAAAAACAGATAACGGTTGCACGTTGACGGCGCTCCGACACTTTTTCCCCGCTCTACGGGCTGTGATGAAAATCTAGAGCGACAGCGCGGCCAGGCGGAGAGGAGGACGGGAAGCGGCAGGATGATCCGGGCCGGGCACGCTCCTCCGCACAGGATCCTGTGCCTTAGAGCAGTGATTGAACACAGAGAGAGGAGAGGACATGAAACGTTTAAAGAGGAACCGTTCGATATCTGTGATTTCACGTTCAATGTTTGCACAATTTAACACTGAAAAATTCTAAGTGTATAAAATTTGTCTTTCAAAAGAATCATTTACACACAAGGTTTTAAAGTAATAAAGTATGCACCTGTTACGCCTATTAATTTGGTTACTTAAAAAACAATATAATGGATATCAGTTCTTTATACGTAGTTAGTTTTCTCCACCATCTCCTCCCTGAACGGCATTTTCGCATATATGTTGCCCACTACGCGCTCGGGTATTGCGTGTTGCCTACATGAAGCGCTGCAGGCGGCCGGCGCAGTCTGACAACACCTGTCCCGTCTTCTTTCCTCCTGTATTTTGCGACATAAACGCCCAGTTATTTCCCGCGAGAAAAACATTAACTGACCGGAGCAAGTAACTAGTCGTCATAATGTATAATTTAAAAGCAATATTCTACAATAGATTGCCAGTGATGAACTAAAAACCCTAATAGTGAGAAGAGCGAATTTTGTCGTCTACCACGAAGCTATTTAAGAACATTAGCTATTTAGAGCTTAACGTAAAAACGCACGAGCCACGGAACTCATTTATAATCGTATAGCTGGCGAAGTTTCACCCAGCCAGTCCATGGCACACGCGCGCGTAAGGGCACAGCTAATGGCCGCGCTCGGGCCGCCCGTTCAGAGAAAACATGGTTTATGAAGCGGCGACTGGCAACGAAGCGGATGCCTCTGGCGAGGCGACGCCTCACGAGGCGCGGGCGAGCGATTTCAATGCCACTCGCCCGCAACAATAACGCGGCCTCGCCGCCGCCGCCGTTTCAATCGCGGCGCTGACAGCGAAGCGCGGACGGTGCCTCCGAGCAACAGGCGAATTATGTACGGTTACAAATATCCACTCCCCTCGCCGGAGACGCCGAGAGTATCGACTGTGGGACTGTGGGGGGGACAAGATCGCAAAAAACGCGCGAACGCGCGAAAGACACCCACTGAAAACAGATGTCAACGGGATTCCACGGAGAATTCCTTCGGAACCGGTGGAGCGGGAGCTGGCTACGGGGCCAAGGATGGGTGGGGCGGGGGAAAGGGTGTGGATGGAAGGCCGGTGGCGCTCCGAGGCGACAACGGGGAAGAGGCAGACGCCGTCACGTCGCTCTGGTACGTGACGGAGGAGCGGAGGGAGACGGAGACCCCTGCGGGATTGGAGGAGCCCCGCCGTCGATACACGAGCATGGTCGCGGGTGGAAGCCGGGACCAGCGTTTTTTGGAGTCTCCTCTCTTTCTCTACTCCTTTCCTTGCCCCCTTCCTCCGACCGTCCCCGCTCCTTCTGCTACCCGACTCACAATGGCCGGCAACAGGATTCGCAGCTCCTGAAATTGGTAGGGCTTTTACAAGAGTGACAGTGAATCAGCAGGTTCCGAGGCGAGGGAGGAGAGCGCCCGGCCCGATCGTTCGTTCGTTGGCTCGCGCGCTCCCCGCAGTCGCTGCCGCTGCGGCGCTCCTCCGCGCCGCGGCAGAACTGAGTGTACCGTTACGAGAGGCGATCGAATCGTATTCCCTCAGTTTTCACCCCGAAAATCGCGAGCCGCGTCCGGACACATGTGCCAGGCGATGAACGCGACACCGGGCGTCACGGATCACGCTCCGGGTAGAGCGATCTGTCCTCTTGCTTGTCGCCTCGCCTCCCTCCCCCCCCCACCGTCGCCGGCGCGACTGGAAGCCCCCGCGGACAAGGCTTCTATGAAGACTTTATTAAATTTGAACACCACTTCTCGCCTGGGTGCCCCCGAACGCCTTCAACCAGACGGGCCCTCGGGCGCGAACACCGTCGCGAAGCGAGTTTCACGGCCACGCGAATATGCAGCGTGGTTCGCTGACTGATAAAGGAATGTATCTGCACGAGGGGAGAATTTCAATTGAGAGCGCAAGCCGAGATTGAGATTCCCGACACGCGAAAATACCCACACAAGGCCTTTCGGGAACACTAGGAACAGAGGCAAGCACCAACACCAGCGACCTCTTGCGGCTCACCACCCCAACGAGGTCTCGTAAATTAGATAAAAAAATCCCCTTCCCTCCCTAACGTCTCGTTATCTGCCCGGGCTTCCTGAAAGCCGGGGGGACTTCTCAGCGGGGAGAGGGGGAAGTGGGGTATATCGTCGTCGCACGTGAATGAATCTGAAAGGGCCGCGCCGCGCCCGCCGTGTCAACCAGCGGCGCGCGCGGGGTGGGCGTACCCCAAGGAGGCGCCGGAGCGCCGCTGCGTACTTCCGGGAAGGCGTAAATGCAAATCACGCCTAACGAGCGCGTGGACGCGGCCAAAGGAACGCGCCTTCCACCGAAGCGAGTCATTAGCGAGGCTTAGCGCCAAAGACCTCTTCAGCGCTCATATTTGCTCTTCTCGGCGTTTTGGAACCAGCTAAGAAGCAATGAATGGACTTGTAATTTAAACGCCCTTTATTTGTGCACTACATACTCACAAATCGCTATGAGAAGCAGAATTCGTTAACAGTGAAAATAGAAATAAAGTATGCTCAGGAAATCGGATTAATTTGCGAGAAAAGGAAACAGTTTGAGTGAAGAATTAACCTTAATGCAATGAACAAACTTCTTTAAATATCAAGGTAAATATTCCATTTGAAAAGAGACTAACTATTTCGGCACATTATATCCCTTTTTTTACAAACATAAACCGGAATAAATAATAAGTGCCCAGAACCGTACACGATACTGCCAACAAAGACATTATATAGTACATTCGTAGGTACATTTTCATTTTCATGTTCTGCACTTAAACTTTTGATTTTGCAAATAACCTTATATGGTTTCATAGCTGCTCGTATGGCCGTGTTACGTCGGATTTACGTAGCAATAACGCGAGCCAAACAACGCATTCCTTGAGAGAGTCTTTGAACTGGTGTCTACGACATAGTACACATATTCTGTAGAGTTTATATAAGTATCTAAATGCGACGATCCACAATAATATATTCCAAGCCTAAATATCACTCGATGCCCACCGCCGCATTTGGGTGATACAGCCGGTAGGCCGAGCGAGCGGGCGGGCGGGCAGCGGGGCAGCGGGCGGGTATCTCGGCTCCGCTTGAGTAGCAGTGGCCGTCGCGCGCTAATCGGCGCAGCCCAACACAATCACCACTTGGTTGCACTTGATTACCTGTCAAATCGCTACAACCAATCCGATGTTGCCGGGCATAATGATGCGACCGACCGCGATGGCAGACGGCAAGGCGGAGCGGCGGCGGACGCGAGCGCGAGGCGAAACCGCGGGACAGCCGCGCTCCGGTCCAGCGCCCCCGCGGCGCGGGGAGTCGGCTCGTGTCAATGGCACTGCAGCAAACACCGCCAAATGCTCACAACGTGTACCAGGTATCTAACGTGTTTGTAGCAACATTTTATGTAAATTATGCTCTCGCGAATTCCCTTCCCGTTCTCGTTTTTCGCCAAACGGCACACAAGAATGCAGTTACATCTCATTCACCTTAACTGGTGGCGGCAGATTTCATCATCAAGGATGATGAGCGAATTTCAAGGCGCACTCTTTACTATCCATAGAAGAGATGAAGAAAATCACAACAGGGAGTGAAGGATATTCCGCAAATAACGTTTCGCATCATAATCAATTAGAAATAACGCTCAATGACCGTCAATTAATTGTGGAGGAACTTAGCAGGTGATACATCGGTTTCAGGTGTACAAACGGAACAATTGCATTGAAAACATTTTCTTTCTGAACTTCCTCTTTTTAATGGTTCGGGCTAAACGAAACTAAA